GTAAAGAAGAAAAAGAAGAAGAAGAAGAAGAAGAAGAAGAAGAAGAAGAGGACATGGAAGGGAATGTGGAGGAGGAGGAGGAGAAAAAAATAAAAGTTGAAAAAAATGTAATAATGAATAAAATATACACTTACATATAAATAAATAAACAAAAATTACTCTAACCTTGGGGAGACTTTGGCACCGTCGGGACCTCCAGCATTGTTAGCCTTGTACCCAGACTTTTGAATCTTTTTGGACAACCGCAACACCCAGTTCTGTAACAAGAAAGACAAAATGCATTATGTGTCTCCTTCTAATGTGAGTGAAATGTATCTCAACCAAGCAAAAGAAAAAAAAAGAAAGAAGAAGGAAGAAGAAGAAGAAGAAGAAGAAGAAGAAGAAGAAGAAAAAAAACAGTAATTACTTCATAAAACAAAATCTTACCTGTTGCTCATCTACTGTGGGTGCCAAAAGTAACATTTCCTTGGCAGTATTTAAATCATAGTTGACTTTACATGGCGCAACTAATTCCTCCTTGCGTTCTAGGTGATCCCTGTGAATTTTCATTCTACACCCTGTAAGAAAAAAACAAAAAAATTCAGCTAAATATCTAGTAGAGGCACAAGAAGTCTGGATACCGGAGGGAAATATCACAATTTTAGAAATCCATAGGTAATGGTGCAATCATATATAGAAAAAAGGCAATTTAGGCTGAAAATCTCAAGTCACCTCCTATTACTCACACCTGCTGCACTATAAAATAGGGTAATTTCCTAAGACAATACACCAGGACCACTTAAATTTGACTCTGGCATGGTACCCTTAACCCATAGCTGCTGGGAAAATATAAGGGTCACAGCAGTTTGGTTTTGTGATGTGTTTTAACACACAAATGGCTATGGAATCAATTAGGAGACCTTGTGACCTCACTTGACTTCACCTTTCCTGAGAACTTTTGGGATTTTTTTTCTTTTACTGGTGCTATTAATATCAGTGCTGATATTATTATTGTAGACATTATAATCATCATAATATTATTAACAGTACTAATAGCAATGAAAGATAATAGAGAATATTTCTGAAATTCAAGGAAAACTGTAAACAGGAAAGATAGGTAGTACTAGTAATTGACTTCTTGGTGACTAAGCACTTGTTGAGCTATCTAAGTGTAAAGACAATTAATAAACTAAACTCCCAGTAGGTATGGCATGTATGTCATTCCCAGTGGTATTGGGTTAAGACTATAAGCTGTCGATAATCTTTGTCAATTAAACCAGACTGCAATCAATATTAAATATACAAACCTACTGATCCTATGAAATTAATACAAACCTAAACAGTTTTCTCATTTCTTACTTACATGAGCAAGGGACTCAAAGAACAGGCATACTAAAAAGAAACTTACGTCTGCACTCCAGTGCTGGAGGTGGCTTGAACATGTGCCATAAATGCCGCTGACACACCTCACAATTTGTAGGCATGTGGAAGCTAATGGCCAGGAACTCGTGACCCTTATGGACTATAGTCCCTGCTTTATCAGGGCCTGCACTGTCATACGGAGCCAACGGACCTGGGTTCTCCCCAGGCTTACGGCTCTCTCCCTCTCCAGCATACAGAAGCTGCAACATATTAAAAGAGATCATACTAAGTCCTACTCAAACTGTTTAGTATTTTGGTTGCATTGTCTCTTCCTGTCTGGTGTATGGTACTGCATGTGTTGGGCAAGCTCACACTAGACCAAGAGCATCAAATGCATTGAGAGTGGTCATGTACATCAGCCTTATTCATTTTAAGAATGAGCAAAAATAATATCTGTGCTACAATTCACCTTTACAACAGGCTTGTAATTTCCACAGGACATTTTTATCAAGGCTTTTGTGGAATTAAATTCTGATCAAACTTCAGATTTGGAAGCAGCTCTCTATTCAGATCTTTCTAATGTGATATTGTATCTTAATTCAGAGGAAATATCATAAGCACACACAAACCTACACCCAAACACAGATATAGTAAATGGGTACAATTTAAAGACAATATTCTAAATCCTAGTCCAATATAACAAAAGAAAGAACACTGGAAAGAGGTAAATATGACTGAAACAATACAAAACTAGTTAAGAGCCAAAATAAAATACCTGAAATATTCTGGGAATATCTCTTGCATCTGCTCGAATAACATCCCCTTGTGTAACCGAACGAACGTGGAAGAGTTTCCTGGCAAGAAAAAATTAGTTAAAATTTTCCTCTACCAAACATTATTGCCTCACTCTTTCATATGACTATTGCTTCCAGTCCTTGTGCTGGAAAACTTTCTTTTTCAGTCCCCAGGGAGACATGCATTAGCAACTTACCAATTTCTGCAAAGACAAGTAATATTTTATATATATATGTATATAAAGAAAAAAGAATTCTAAATCCAGTAGTGCTGTCTTTCATTCAAGTAATATTCTGGAAGAAAACTTATTAGCAGCTCATTTTCAAACAACTCTCAGCAGTGTGCTACTAGACTTTTAAAGGTA